AAAAAGTCATATAGCAAAAATCTTCCAGAAAAAGAGAAAGCCTTCTTGACATTAAACGAAAGCTCTCTATACAATTATATGTGGAGAATATTTTCTCTAGTCATTGGACAACCCAGCTTAAAATCCTAGGTGTGATAACTAGGCTTTGGAGATCAAGCAGAATTACACTTAAGCAAGTTACTTAACTTCTGAGAGATCCTATTTTTTACCTTGAAATACTACATCAGTGTTGTGATGAAGAGTAAATTGGAAAATAAATATGAAAGCCCACAATACAATACCTATCATATGAAAAGCAACCAAAACATTCATTTCCCTTTGCTGTGATGCTAATTTAAAATGAGAATACTTAAGACAATCTTAAACTAGTTAAATATAACACATTTTTGATAAGGAAGGCTTTTCTAGTTTCTCAGTCTCACTGTAAACATCAATTATCATTCCAGGGATAAAATGAGTGTCATGTCATCTGAAAAGGGGAGGGAATGAGCTAAGGGTACTGAGTGAACTCCAGTCATCCTCGGATATGACTGACAGCGCTATTAACTTACAACTTTACCTCGGGAAAATTACTTACAGTTTCTCTGTAATTGCTTTCTCATCTATAAAAAGGGAATAATACCTAACTCACAGAGTGATTGTGAATCAACAGAGAAAGTAAAGATAAGAATATATAGTTAGAATATGTAAACTGTGCCTGATAAATGGTAGATGCTCAATAAAGATTATACAACTGCCCTTTATCCAGCTACCTGAATGTCACTGGAACATGTAAAGGTAGACTAGGTAAGACTGACAGTTTCCTTCATCTTACAGAAATTGAGATCTAAAAAACAGTATGATGTTATTTTCCTTTATTGTGGTAAAATATATATAATATAAAATTTGCCATTTGAACCATATTTAGGTATATAATGCAAAACCATTCATTATATTGTTGGTGTTATACAACCATCACCACTCACTATCCACTGCCAAAACTTTTCCCTCATCCCAAACAGAAATGCTGTACCAAATAACCATTCCCCATTTCTCCCAGCCCCTGAAAAACTCTATGTTCTATCTCTATGAATTTGCCCCTGCTACATATTTGATATAAGTAGAATCATACAGTATTTGTTCTTTGGGTCTGGTCTACTTAAATTTGCATGTTTTCAAGGTTCATTCACATGGCATCATGTAATAGCATTTCATTCCATTATATAACAATACTATTTCATTGCACATATAACATTTTATGTATTCATTCATCTCTTAATAGACACTTGTGTTGCTTCCACCTTTCAGCTATTATGAATAATGTTGCTATGGCAATTAGTGAACGTGTGTATGTGTGTGTGTGTGTGTGTGTGTGTGTGTGTAAGAATTGTTGGTTCAGATGATAGTTCTATGTTTAATCTTTAAAGGAAACACCAAACTATTTTCCCAATCAGGTGCACCACTTTACATCCCCACCAGCAATGTACAAAGGTTCCAGTTTCTTCACATTCATAGAAATACTTTATTCTCTGGTTTTTGTTTTTGTTTTCATTTTTTTCATATGCATCAGAGTAGATATGAAATGTTATCTCATTGTGGTTTTTGATTTGCAGCTCTCTGATGACTAATAATGTTGAGCATCTCTAGGAAGAAATAAGTACAGGATACTTATTAGCCATTTGTACATATTCTTTGGATGTGTATTCAAGCATTTTGCCTATGTTTCAACTGAGTTTTTGGTGGTTTTTTCATACCCACTTTGGTGGTTTTTTTCAGTTTGCTTTTGTTGAGTGAGTTACAGGAGTTCTTCACCTTCTGCGTATTAAATCCTTATCATACATATCATTTTCAACTATTTTCTCCCATTTTGTGGGTTTTCTGCTCACTCCATTAAGCATGTCCTTTGGAGCACAAAAGTTTTTAATTTTAATCTAGTCCCTAGATCTGAGTGCCTTGAACTAGTTCTTCAGGAAGCTCCCAGGCTGGTTAGAATACACAAATACAGTAATTTGTAAATGAAGTCCGCTTTTCTCCCTCTGGAACCAGGGACCTTGGTCCCACACTGGGAATGTGAGCTGTTGCCAAGCCAGGGAAGGTAGAGAGCACTGACAAGGAAAAAATGCCACGAAGCCTTCCCGTCACTTTTTAATTGACTTTTCTTGGTTCAGCATTTGCTTGGTTGCTGTCAAACACTGACTATTTTCTCAAAGTTGGTTCCAACAGTTTCTGCCTGTTTCTTCATGTTTCTGTGGAGGAATGGAACTTTGGAACTGCCTACTCTGCCATTTTGCTGATATCATTCTAAATATTTATTTTAAAGGCCTAAAAGTTCATAATGTAGCAAGACTGGAATTTGCTAAAGCAACACTTATTTTTGTACCATTTTATTAATAATTTGAGAAGATGCCTATAGTGACTATTTTCAGAAATTTCTACAGAGATCCATGAATTGGATTGAGGTGTCATACTGCTAAAATAAAATATAAATCACATAAAGTACTAACATAAAAGATACAATTTCTTAGATTTCTTTGAATATTTTGGCTACTGCTTTATTTCATTTGCTGGCAAGGTCCAGATAGTAATAAAATTCTAGAAAAACTGAAATAGCCTATTATTCTTAACTAGCTCTTTTTCCTCCCATAATACATTATTATATTTTATGAGATGAGTATAATAGAAATACATTCCACTGATATAATTATTTGCTATTACTTTTATGAAAATAAAAATACTAAGATTTCAAGGTGGTATTTTACAAAAACAAAAAAACAAACAAAAAACACAGTGTTCATCCAAAAACAGCCTGACTGTTAGGTGCTTCACAGTAAGTTTGAGAAACATTGTTAAGTAGAATGAAATTATTAAATTTTAGGTCCATTGAAACTACAAATACAAATACTTTACATAACTACTTTTATAAACACAACTCAAAAGAACAAATTCACATAGTATTTGCTCAAGTCAATCAAAATGATAGTGATTATACTGAGAATACACTTAAAAGAAATGATCAAAAATACTATTTCATTCTAAAACATTTGTCAGTTTTTAGTAACAGAGAAGGAAAAAAACCAAATACCCTGCAACCTGATCTGTAAAAACAACAATTGAATCATTTGCTATATTTAGAAATAAAAAGATAATAATAATCTCAAGGAAATTCATGAATTACAAATAGTTTATCCTAGGCCTTTTAAAACTTTATTATATGTTTTTAAGTTGTTAGCTCACTAAAACTATAATACACTCCCACTGAAGAACTCATCACATATCACTAGATCATGAAATTATTTCACTAAGTTGGTCAAGGCCAACATTTATTTAACATTAACACAAGGGTGGGCAAAAGTAGGTTTACAGTTGTTTGTATGGAAAATAATCATGCAGGTTATGATTATTACAACTTTATTAGCTCAAAAGAATATCATAATGCAACTATAAATCTACTTTTGCCCATGCTGCAGTATAGAGTAGAAAATATCAATGTGTATGGTCCATAAGGCCACATATTGCTTAATAAAATTTTTATTTCTATTTTATATTTATAGAACGGCATTCTCTTTCAACTATACCACAACACCACTTCATCAGAAGAAAGACGCTAAAATGGGATACCTCTGCTATAGGACAGTCTTAAGCATAAAAAATGATTACTCTCTACACTGCAATGAGGTTTCTATGTAATTATTTAATGTAATGCAGTCACTTTAAAAAATTATTTCAAAGATTTAGATTTACAACTTCTACCAGATTATTACATATAACTAATTCATAATTCAGATACCATGCAAATCTGAAGCAAATATTTAATCTATCAAAAGTTAATTTCAAAATATGTAACATTCTAAGGAAGATTTACCAAATTAGTCTCAAAGTTCTCAGTTAATCCATATGTAACCTTTAAATGTAGGGGTCTTCATTTTATTTCTAACTTCTTCTCAGATCAGATTTAAATCTAGGACGTTACTGACACTCTGGTTTTATTGAAACCAGAAGAGTTTAGACTGCATTCCCATTTTAAATTTAAACATTAATCCTGAAAGGATTCAAAGTTCTTGAATGATATTAATTAATTTTTTCTTTCAATAAGTGTTGCCTGAGGATACTGTAGGCAAACTGGTAAATACATGGCCTCTGCCCCCTGCAGCAGGCTCCTTTATTCCAGGTCTGGAAGAGTACAGTCTATTGGCCTGGAAACATGGACAGACAATAGTGGCTTTAGAGAATACAGACTTCAACCCTCAACTCAACCATCTGCTAAATACTAGGCAAACTCATCAATCTCTCTAAGCCCTAATTTCTTCCTTCACAAAATGAGTTTAAGATCAATTGTGTCACAAAGTTATTTCAAGAGCTAAATGTAAAAATACAAAAAGTACCTAGTATAACAGTAGGAACATCACCTAATACTCAAAATATTCACAAATCCAGGGTCAGGCCCATATAATCCACTCAATATTCATTGAATGAATAATCAACTCTGTGACAAGAAACCTTAAATACCATTTCCAAAGGAAGTGGATGAAACATAAAATACATGAGATACTATTTTAATTCAATTATTGTGCTAAATATGGATGATTACCACTTTTTTCTTCATTTTATACTAACTCTGACTTTCATTTATGCCTTGAAACAAGTATTTAAAGCATGTAACCGCATTATTTAGTAACATAAAAGGGAAATTAAAAGTTGATTTTTAAAACTTCATGCTGATCCAAACTGCATAGGATTACTGTCTAAAGCAAAATTTGGTACAAAATTTCAGTAACAGAATAAATTAACTAAATGTTTGGTCACAGAAGTGCAGGCACTCACTGTAAAACACAAGTTAATTTATCAATTTTAACAATGGCACACTAGCTCACCAAACCAAATAAATAGTCATGGATACACGAAAAACATGACTTTGTTTAGTCTGGGCATTATTTTTTACATAACAATCTTTTAAAGTGTTGCTACAAGAAAACATGTTTAGTTAATATGAGTTAAATCACTTTATAGATGTTAAAATTTACCTGTTTGAGTCCTTCATCAGTTAGTTTGTCCTGATTGCCCACATGAACTTTCTGAAGTAAAGGGCAGTGAGAGGCAACCGCAATAATAGAAGTGTCAGAAAGCTGTTTACACCTGTAGGCTGTGTACCTAAGAAGTCCAGGACATTTAAATGCTAGAACACACACACCAGTATCAGACATACTTCGACAATCAGAAATGTTGATTTCAATTATATTTTGACTTCTTGATGCAATTTTTTCCAATAATTCATCAGTAACCTATGAGAGAGAAAAGCAAAATTAAACTTTTGCTAAATGTAGAAATGTATTTTCTATTGTTTTATTAAAGTTTCCCCAATAAACAATATGATTAGGTTATAACATGAAAACCACAACTGAAAGAAAACTTTTCTACTTAATATTAAGGCATAAAAAGAACTATGTTATAATAAAAAATATATTTGTTCTTCGTCTCTGGTTCATTGAACTCTTTTTATGTACTTTTCATCTCCAAATCCAACTACCAGAAGAAGAGAAAGCTATTTTCAGTCCGAGTTCCTAACAAACAGCCCAGACATCCAAGAGTATTGCAGTAAAGAGCCAGTGGATTATTTTACATTACTACACTAACCCATGGAGGAAACCTTGCTCATTTTGTTTAATGTATATATATATATATATATATATATGTTAAACATACAAGCACATATACTAATAGTGGCATGTTGGAGTTGGCTTATACCAACTCACGATACCTATAATGTGTACCTCTTTTCAAATCAGTGACATTACTATATTCAGTGACATCACATTGGTAGCTTGAAATTAGCTATAGTGGGAGTATTTGTACCACAGAAACTGGCAAATATTACACATCAGAGCTTTCTATTTGCTTATTTGTTTTTGAAAGCCAGTTGTTACACATTTACCAGCAAACCACTCTAACCAAATCATAAAAGAATTTAGAGTACTTTTAGTACTCTATTAAAATCCTATTCTTAATGGATATTTTTATATATTTCCAATGACAAGTATTGACAACCAAGTTTAAAGGGAGAATTACAAACTGTTTGCAATAAAGCACGACTAACTCCATCTTTTTTTCCCTAATTTATGACAGTATAAAAACATATTGGGCAACCAGGCAAATCGGGAGGATTAAAAAATTCATCTAAAGTAAAATGAAAACAAAATAAGTTAGCCGGTTTTGTTTCCATTTCATCTATAATAATAGTGTAAGATCAATATTGTTAATATTATAGTAATAATATATTAATAGGGATAATAAGGCCTGAGTGCTGTGGCTCAGTTGTTGGGCATCCTTCTGTGAAGCAAAAGGTCACCAGTTGGATTCCCAATCAGGGCACAAGCCTGGGTTGTGAGTTCAGTCACAGTCAGGGTGCATATGACAGGCAATTGATCAATGTTTCTCTTTCCCTTCCCCTCTCTCTAAAAATCAATCAATCAATCAAATATACTTTAAAAGTACGGATAATGGTAGTCTCAACTTAGGAGGTTAAATGGGAAGATAAAATAAATTAATATGTGTAAAGCCTGTACAACAGTACACGGCACATTGGCAGTCCTACCTAAATGTTTTCCACCATTTTCTATTATTAAATTAATGTTCATGATATGACCCTTCCAAAAAGGGAATGTTGTTTTAAAGAGTAATGAAAAAAGGATAAGACAACAGGAATAGAATAGAGAGGATTAAGAAGCAACCCAAAATTACCAATCCACAGTAAAAAACATATTCTTGACCACAGGAAACTAGCTGTAACTTAAACACAAACAAAAAATACTAAAGCACAGCATTATCGATTATAGTCATTTGAACTATCCTGAGAAACTATAACATGAAAGAAGTGATTTCTGAAAAGGAATGAATATTATTTTTTGAATTGATCAAATCGAGTGTTTCCTAGAATTAAATTACATATACCTGCTGACGACTACTAAGATCCAGCTGCTTCCAAAACTGGAAATCTAAACAAAGGTCACGCCAATACTTGCAAACCAACGATGCAGAAAGGCAACGTTCATCCAGGGATAAATTGGAAAATATCTGTGAATAAAAAAGAAGCCATATATTTGTTAGAAAATATTAACCTTAAAGCACAAAATGTGTTGAATACAAGTAGCCATTATTAGAAGAGCCGTTGTTACAAGTTGTCCTAAAGAGAAAGTATGGTATAGAAGTTAGGAACATGAACTAATATTGCCTTTTATGTAACAAAAGGAGAGCAGGTGATTACACCTGTGTGTTTGTGTGTGGCTTTGTGTGTGTTTAACAACATTCTAAAAAATTAAAAGAACAGGACAAAAATTCATTAAAAAATACTCCTCTTTACAAAAGGGAGAAAAGACTAGGAAGGGGAATGGAATGAAAGTGAAACTACTCTGAAGGTTCTAGTTTTAGAGTTTTGACCTCAGAACCAGGTGAACTTTTTATACTATTTTTTAAAATTAAAATGTCATAAAAAGGACATTTTACCTTTATGGCACTTTTCGAGAAATTTATAAACCCACTCTAATCCCCCAAAAAGTATCATATACATCAACTGTAAGACATCTTACAAAATGCATGATCAGGACTCCTAAAAAAAATCAAAACCATGAAAAATGAGGAGAGACTGAGCAAATATTACAGGCAAGAGCAGAACAAGGAGAAAGGACAACTAACACACTCCTGATTTGAAAAAAGGTCATCAACAAAAACATTGTACCAATGCCGATTTCGCATCGCATTGCTGCGAATGTATCACTGGAATGTAAGATAATCAATTTAGGGAAACTTGATAGTTGAGGAAATATATGAGGACTCTGTACTATCTTTGCAACTTCTCTATCTAATATTATTGAAAATGAAAAGCTTATTTTAAAAAGTTTTTAAAAGTAAGAATTATTTTTAAAATGGTCAAGGTTAGGACCAATACATATTTTTTTAACATTTTTTATTGATTATACCATTACATTTGTTCTATTCCCCCCTCTCCATTCCCCTCCACCCTGCACATCCCTCCCCCACCATTCCCCCCTTTAGTTCATGAACACGTGTCTCAAGTTCTTTAGATTCTATATTTCCCATACTATTCTTACCCTCCCCCCATCTATTTTCTATCTATTGTCTATGTTACTTATTTTCTCCACCTTCTCCCCCCTTCTCCTCCTCCCACTCCCCTATTGCTATTCTTCCATGTGATCTTCATTTCTATGGTTCACTCCTGATCTACCTGTCCTCTTAATTTGCTTTTGTTTTAGGTGTGGTTGTTGATAACTGTGAGTTTGCTGTCCTTTCACTGTTCTTCTTTTTTTTATCTTCTTTTTCAGGTAAGTCGCTTTAAAATTTCATATAAGGGCTTGGTGATGATGAACTCCTTGAATTTGGTCTTATCTGAGAAGCACTTTATCTGTCCTTCCATTCTAAATGAAAACTTTGCTGGGTAGAGCAATCTTGGATTTAGCTCTTTGGTTTTCATGACTTGGAATAGCTCTTTCCAGCCCCTTCTTGCCTGGAAGGTCTCTTTTGAGAAATCTGCTGACAGTCTGATGGGAACTCCTTTGTAGGTGACTGTCCCCTTATCTCTTGCTGCTTCTAGAATTCTCTCCTTCATTTGAATCTTGGCTAATGTAATGATGATGTGCCTTGGTGTGTTCCTTCTTGGGTCCAACTTCTTTGGGACTCTCTGAGCTTCCTGGATTTCCTGGAAGTCTATTTCCTTTGCCAGAACGAGGAAGTTCTCTTTTATTATTTGTTCAAATAAGGTTTCCACTTGTGACTGTTCCTCTTCCCCTTCTGGTACTCCTATAATTCTGATGTTGGAGCGTTTAAAGATGTCCTGGAGGTTCCTAAGCCTCTCCTCATTTTTTTGAATTCTTGTTTCTTCATTCTTTTCTGTTTGGTCATTTTTTCCCTCCTTCTGGTCTACTCCCTTGATTTGAGTCCCAGTCCCCTTTCCATTACTATTGGTTTCCTGTGCATTACCATTCATTTCAATTAGTTTCACCTTCATATGTTTCTCTAATTTGTGACTAAAATCAACCAGTTCTGTGAGGATCCTGATCACCAGTGTTTTGAACTGTGCATCCGAAAGTTTGGCTATTTCTTCATTGCTTAGATTTATTGGCTCTAGGGCTCTTAGTTGTTCTTGAGCCATGTTTTTATCTGTTTGTGCCTGTTACATATGAGGAGCAAAGCCTTAGTTGTTCACCAGGGTGGGGTCACCCAGGTCACTGGTTTGTGACGCTGTATGTGGGGACAGGGTCAGAGAGGGAGCATTGGCAGTCCTCTCCTCCTCTCCGCTTGCCCAGTCTGTCCCACCACTCACCCCCGCCTGTTTATCTGAGCACAAATGTTCGAGCCCACCACCCTGTGCCCAGTGGTCTCAATGCTCGCCTCTTCACTGGTTTATCTGCACGCAAATGCTTGACTAACCGCAGACAGCCAGGCACGCCTCTTCCCTGTGTGCGCCCATAGCTACCCCACACCTGGGATCCATGCCTTCGGCTGCTTGTGCACCACACCGGTCTGGGATCTTTTTGGCCAACCCGCTCCGCTGCTGGCTTCACCCTTTACAGGTTTAGCTGAGCATTTCGTTGTTTTCGGACTCCATATTGTCGATTTTCCGTGTGGTTTGGTTGCGTTTATTGTTGTTAAAACTTTATTATTTTTACATTTGGTTGTGTGCGGACGCAAGGTGTTTCCACCTACGCCTCCATCTTGGCGGAAGTCTGGACCAATACATATTTTTAAAATTTAAGATACATCTCAATAAATACAATGTGTGGACCATATTGAAACCCTGAACTGAACCAACTATAAGATAATTCTGAGACAATCGGATAAAACTGAACATAAAAAAAGATTCTCAAGAAAAGTTTTCACTTTCTAAGTTGCGCTTACACTGTGGTTATAGTATTGCGGTGGTTATATTATTTTTAAAAGTTATTATCCATTTTATATAACTTTAGTGTTTATGGCTGAAACGATATCTAGAATTTGTTTCCAGATACTTTACCAAAAACAGAAAAGTTGGGACAAACTAAAAAAGGCAGTATATTGAAAAAAACTACTGAAATCAGTTGAATAATAAACAAGGAGTTCATTATTTTCTACTTTGGTCAGGGCATGAAAATTTCCATAACATTAGGTGACAATATTAACAAGAACTTGCACTGTATACTAAATTATTGTATCCCAGGTTTGAATCATGGCTTTACTATTTATTACCTATGTAACCTCCTTGGGCAAATTATCTATCTTCTCTGTACATGAATTTCCTTTAAGATAACATGGGAATGATATCATCTTACCTGCCAGAGTTATCATGAGGACTAAAGGAGTCGACACAAAGTTTTTGGAACACTGTCTGGAACACAGCGAAGAATATACAAATGAGTCCTATAACTATAACCCAGAATGATTTGCCTATGTACACTCAAGTGTTGCAAAAAATCTAAGCTAGAATCCCTACTATGTTTAAAACTTGAGCCTTAGAACAACAACTGCCCATTGCTGTTCCTTCAAACTACTGTTCATCCTCCAAGGGTGAAGTGAGAAGTAAAAAAATATGTGTGAGAATCACTGGCAAAAATATAGTTCAGCCCACTACAGTCTCTCACTCCCATTCATAAAAACTGAAACCTCTTACAACATACTAAAAGCAATTACCTTGGGACTCTAAAATGTTAATAATAGCATATGGATTGGGCAGGTGAGCCAAAATGTAAGGAATGACCTAATTTTTCCTATCATCTACCAGCGTGAAACTGAGGAAGGCCCCTGTATAAAACTACACATCGGGCACAACCAATGAAAATACATAAAGCAAGCCATCTCTCTGGACACAGGGCTTCTGTGAAATGTGGGAATAGTCCCCATTTGGGGTTTTCTTTTCTTTCACTTTCCCCTTTTCTCCCTACTGGCCATGTCCCAAATGCAGCCTGTCACAGACCTTCAGTGCAGCAGCTGTGCAGGCACCTAAAAGTCCAAAAGTAAACCCATCTTTTTGACCAGAAGAACCAGGAAAGAAACTCCATAGACCAAAGAATGTGCAAGGAACCTCCATTGTGTCTTTCTTACCACTTCATCATGAAAACTGTCCAAGTCCTGCAAAACTATACAGCAGCACAAGCATATGGCATAGGCTATAAGTCTGAGAGAAACTCCATCTTTCTATCCAGAGAACCAGAAAAGGAGATTTCTAGGTGAAACAGAGTGAAGGAAGGATCAAAGAGTACCCTGAATTCAGTGTATGAAGTAACAAAAAAAAACCCGAGTTAACCATAAAGCTACACGTGTATAAAAGAAATCCAAAGTAGTACAGCAAAGTCTTTGAAAATTGAGCTAACGTTGGAATCACAGACCTAGTAAGGTAAGATAGAAGTTTCAATTTAAACGTAACATTGCTGATCTCTGGCAAATCTGATCAAGCGAGATATTCATAAAACTCAATGATCCCCAATAGGATCAACCCAAGGAGATCTACACTGAGACACATTATAAGCCATTTGTCAGAACACAAACACAGAAAAAAACCCTGAAAGCAGCCAGAGAAAAGCAAGTCATCTACAAAGGATACTCAATGAGGTTAACACCTGATTTCTCATCGGAACCCATGTAAGTTGGCAGGCAAGGGGATAGGTTTTTAAAGCAATGAGAGTAAAACTGTCAACCTGGAATTCTATATCTGGCAAAACTAGCCTTCAAAAATGAAGGAGAAATTAAGGTATTTGCGGGTAAACAAACACTGAGGAAATTTGTCACCAGGAAAGTTACCTACAAGAAATGTTCAAGGGAGTTCTTCAGGCTGAAATGAAAGAGCACTCCTCAGTAATCTGAAACCACATAAATAAATAACGAACACCAATAAAGATAAGTATTTATGTAGGTATATATAAAATCCAGTATTAATATATTTTTGCTTTATACTCCAATTCTAAATGATGGAAAAGACAACCACATAAAATAATAATAAAAAATCTACTATAACCTTATGGGCACAAAACATATACAGGTATAATTTGTAACCATAACAACATAAATATAGACACAATTTTTATATA